TGGTAGGTTTCTTCCCTTTTATGTGATGGCCAAAATACCCTTTTCAATAGAATAAATTATATACATAAGATAAATGAGTAATAACTAATAATAATACAAAGCTATAGGTCATTTAATATATAACACCGGAATTTATAATTGAAGTTTACAAATTAAGAAATTTTGCAGTTGTTATACCTTTTGATATCTATATGTAACCTAAAGAATCCAATAATTATTTAAATTTCTTCTTAAGTTTTAAATTTTACAATAATATGATATCAAAAAGAAATTGTTTCAAATTCATGCAAAAACGAAGATTACTAATAAAATATTTTAGGGAATTTCCACTTAGCACAAATTGAAATTACAATAAAACTATTAATTTTTCATTAATACAATCTACCCAAAACAACATGCCTTTTATTACTTAATTGATCCATGGATTAAAATAATTGTTATATGCTAGGTTTCGTTATATTTAATAAATCAAATTTAACTTATCCTCTAATCATCTAAAAAAATTCCAAGTTAAAAGGCCATCAATTTAGTTCATGAGTTACTCCTGTTACAAACCACGCTAAAGTAAGATTTTCAAGGGCATGTATGCAATTTGACAAATATAATAAATAAACAACAATGGGTTTTTAAGTGTGGCATAATTTATTGTATTGTTTTTCAAGCACATTCAATTCCATTATCTTTAATGTGGGAAAAACGGCCGAAACTAATGTGCATCTCCCTGAGGTGTGAATGTTAGACAAGATGGTGAGATTTAGCATCCAAATTAATAGTAAGCAAGAAAACGGTTCAGAGGCTTTTTTTTCTACATGTACAATTAATATGTCATAATGTGTGTGTATTGATAAAATGTTGCAACACAATCCCAACCAAACATAAAAAGAAAAATGCAATATCTAACAAATAACAAATAGATTATAATCGAGTCTTTGGGATTGTAAGCACATAATTCTAAATGTTAGTCATACAAGAAATTCAAAGAACCTCAATGGTCTCGATAGTTTGCATCAGTTACATCAAAGAAATAAAAGAAAATGATCGTAACTTTCATTTTCAAGTTATCTTTCATCTTTTCTTTCTCTTCTCGATTTCTGTTTTATGTTCTTCTTTTTCTTTGTTTTTTGTTTTCAGTTCTATGTTTAATATTTTGAATATTTTCTCAACTACGTCCCTTATTTTTCCTTTTTTTATCTTTCATCCATCTTTGAACCCTAAATTTTGAGAAATTGATAAAGTTTTCTAGATTAATGAAGGAATAAATCCTCCATATCAAGACCAGATTGAGCATCTGTTAATAAAGTTCGTAACTTATTTTGCATATTTTTCCCACTTCTATGTACTAAGTTAATTTTTTTATTCATTTGAATTAATTGACCTAATGAAACATGTATGTGTTATATCTATCATTGACTTTGAATCTTTCTGATCAGATCTTACATGTTAAAATTATTTTTACTCAGGTAATTCAAAACACGTGTCAGTTTCATAAAATCAATGGTATGTGCATGGGGATTATTGATTTAACTTTTATCTACTAAAATTACTTTATTTACTTGCAATTACATTTTATTTTTCCGTTCAATTCTTTATTTATGTATTGGCAGGTAAGATTTCATTGTGATATAGTTTGTGACTAAGCATGTTATGCGTGAAGTTTATAAGGACTTTCGATTTCAATTGGCTTCTTCTTGTCATCAAAGTTAGTCTTTCTCCAACAAGACTAAGCTATATATTTTCTGAAAACCATAATTTAATTTTAGTTTTCGTGGCTTTTGGTATTCCACATTCCATTTATGAAAAATAGGAAGTTAACTGTCATGTTATTAATCTTTGTTAATGTTATGAATTGTGAGTGGATAAATAGGAAATAATATGTTAAATGAGTTTTATATTGCTATTGGTAGTTTTGCATTAGATGGTTATATTGGCATGTCATATTTTAATTACTCCGAGACTTCACTCTAGGTGGTTTGACTACATCTATTGGTTAGTGATATAAATTTTAGGGAAAATTTCACTTTCTCCCTTGTACTTTGGCTCGCTATCACTTTACCCCCTTCTACTCTCGATTGCATCGATTTGCCCCCTATACTTGAAAAATTGTCTCTCGATGTTAGTTTTTTGACATTTGACATTAACACCGTTTGATATAAACTCTGAAATTACAAAACCGCCACCCCTCCCAATTTAAATAATTATTTAAAAAAAACGATAAAAAAAATAACAAAAATTCAAGACAACGAGAAAACATAGTCCATGACGCCTGTCGCAATTTTTTTTAATAATTATTTAAAATAGGAGGGTTGGTTTTTTGGTAATTTCCATACTTATATCAAATGGTGTAAGGTCAAAGGTTTGAAAACTAACAACGAGGGCCACATTGAGACAATTTTTCAAGTACATGAGGGCAAATTGATGCAATTGAGAGTATAAGAGAGTAAAGTCATATTTAGCCAAAGTAAAAGGGGGAAAGTGAAATTTACCCTAAATTTTTTGCACTTGATTGATGGTTTTATGTTGTCCAATGGTAGATAAATATAACTTGGAATTAAAAGTTATTTCTCATGTAATTTCTTTCTATAAACTTGTTTCCTTCATTTTTATTTTGATGGCAGAAATTTTAATACCCCTTGTTCGTTTTATCCTCTATATTATTTAATTTTTTAATGATTTTATTTGTTCATTAACTTCTTATATTTTTCAATTCATATTTTTTCCCTCTAAATGTTAGGGTCCAGTGGCTATAGATAGTTTCATTTTTAAGTTAGTAAGTTTTGTGTTTACTCTAAATTAAAAATCATGAGTTAAGCTTGAGATTTTGGTTGAATCATCCATCTCCTTCCTGCAGGCAATACCTCACACTTTATGTAAAATACTTGTAATCGTTGTCGTGCTCTCATAAGAAATTTTAAAGTTATTAGATATTAAATTCCTTTAACACAAATTGAACTTGGCAAGCATGTTGCTTTATATAATTTCTTCGATCTGGTTCCCGTTACCATTCAGGTGAGTTTCAGGGAGATATTATTATAGAAAATCTACGAGCCATTTAAGGGGATACTAGAGTGAATTATGCCAGTATATTTTATATGCTTTATCACTGTTATTATTGGAGATATTAGTGTTAAATGATATACTTCACTAATAACTTAAGCTTTTGGTTGAGGTAGTCATTCAACATGGTATCAGAGCCAAACCAAATGAAAGGTCATGAGTTCGAATCCCACCGCCACCTATTTCAAATACTTCAAGTGGAATGCTTCAAATGTAATTAGCTTGAACTTTAGGGGGCGAATTGGAGATATTAGTATTAAATAATAATAGCTTGAGTTTTTTGGTTGAGGTGATCATTCAACAATTATATTTGTTTTTTTTTTCTTCTTTTTTTCCTCTTTATAGCAAGTCAATGTGATCCGTCAAAACTACAAGATAAGGATGTTGGAAGTACACCATATTTCTTAGACATAGCAGGTAGGGGAGGTATAACCATACATATGAAGTCAACAACAAATTGATTCTCCACGGTGTAGTCACATGATGATGAAACTGATAGCTGAAGGACAAAATGAAGCCACCCAAAATGCATAAGCAGAAATTTCAGCTCAATCTTGTATTCTCGAATGCTTTTACTCAATAGTTAGTTTTAGGAAGCTAAATGAAGAAATAGCTGTACATGTAGTCCGTTCTTTGTTTTGATATTTAATGACATATCAATGGCTGAAGACAAACTGTTTTAATTTCATTAATATATTTTATTGTTTTATTTAAAATTGTAGCAGATTTTACTGTATAAAGGTCAAGATTATGCTCTTGTTGTGCTCTTTTAGAATGCATTCAAATAGACAATCAACTCCGTGCTCTAGAAGAAATTTGAACTTTGGAGAATAATCGTCATGGAATGCTCAAGTTTAAATGTATTATTGGCCATAATTTGTATCTCTATGATACACTATTTTTGCTCAATATAGTTTGACTGATTGTTTGATAGTGTGGCCATTTGATTCCAATATTCCAGATGTTTTTTTTTTTAGTTTTTGCATTTAGAAGCTTGACATTTTACGAAAAATGCAAGATATATATTTCAATCTTTGTACCGTATCAAAGATATCATTGTATGCAAACTTATGGACAATATCTAAAGTTCTTCCATGAATTATTTATTCTTTATAATTAGACTTAGTTTCACTTTGTGAAATAATTATGTCATTACTTTGACAGGATCATGGCCTGGTACATAGCCTGTCAAACTCAAAATGCCCTGAGCTATGTTATTAAAATATGCAAGTCCCTTTTTTGTTTCTCTCTTCTTCTATGTTTCGAATTTATCTAAATTCTCTAACTCATAAACGATCGAGATTATTAGAGCTACTCCAGACTTGCGTTCATGTGGAGTGATACTCTTTGTAAAGTTTGCACGAACCTAACCTTCTCTTTATACTACTACGAAGCATATAGACCAATTAAATTTGTGTAGAGTATGTTTGGAACATAATTTACATTCTTGCTCATTGCTATCTGGAAATTATGTTAATGCACCAAGCTCCTAATTTTTTTGTTTATTTTTCTAATTTATGTTTCATCATTCAATAAGGAAAAAAATGGAATTGGTTAAAGAGCGGATAATCCACAATAAATAGAGCCCGTTGCATAAGGACTAGATGTGCCATAAGAAACATTGCAATTGGATGATGCATTTTGGTTATCAGGAAAAGATTTGTTGTCCCACTACAAGTTATATGAGTTGTATTAGTTTTCAATGATTTCACATAAACATTATTAACTAAACAAAATCTCGTAATTGACTGCAAACTTGATCATCAATCTCGAAAAATATGTTCCTAGGATTCTCCTGAATTTCAATGTATATGCAATACAAATAAGATAAAATAAGTTTGATTTGATGTAGTTTACATTTCTCCAATATTTATAGAAGTAATAATATATTTTTGGTTTAAAACAAATTGACTCATATTTTATAAAAAGCATCTTACAACCTAATGTATACACAAAAATTATTTTCACCATATAATAATATAAAGACACGTGCAATGCACGTGCACTTTGCTAGTAGATTTAAATAGAAAAAAACAGTGTTGCAAGTTTATAGCTCGAATGTTGAGGGAAGAAAACAAGCTTGTCTTTTCGACGTATTTCATATATTAATTACTCTGCTAAAGCATTAAAACACGGAAGGTTGTTACGGACAGGCCGGTTGTTGTTGTGTGATGCAATGTATATTTCCTCCACCGAGCGCAACCTCACGAGCGCCTTCAACTTTCACAATCTGCAACCAAATCATATTTTTTTTCCGATAAATTAAATATTCATATATATTGGGGCAAAAAAAATTCAAAATAATAAACGAGAACGTTGCTCACCTCATAATCTGGAAATGCCAAAGCCAAGACGCGAACAGCTTCAGCGTCCCACTTCTCGTCACCAAATTGGGGTGTAATAATTGCTCCGTTTGCATGGTAGAAGTTTACGTACGAAGCAGCAATCCTCGTACCAGGAATCCTTGTCTTAGCATCTCCATCCTGTTGTTTCAATTACGCCCAAAAATATAAAATAAAAATATAAAACTATCTGATAAAAGCAACGCGCAGTATTCTTTGGAGTGTCGGATTTTCCGATTGGGGGCAATGAAAATAAGAAAAATCGAAAACCTGTTGTAATCCAGCAGCTTCCTCGTCAGTCATATAAAGTGGGCCCGGGACATGGAGTTTGATAACTTGTAATTTTCGACCTTTGGCATCGGTCGCACTGTTAAGAACAGAAAGGGCTTCGATAGATCTCTCGTATTGAGGGTCCGATTCATCGTCGGTCCACGACAATAAAACAACACCGGGCCTCACAAAACAGCACATGTTATCAATGTGACCGTTAGTGTCGTCATCACCTGTAATTTACACGGTCAGCGGATAAATTGCTGTTTCGTTGGTCTTTAAAGAGAACACAACAGAAAGTCAACGGTATCGAAATCTGGTCAAAATAAAAGAATCTTTCACAACTAAACGGAGACTGTGTGACCACATAAGAAGGATTCAAGAAGAATACCAAACAACCCACGAGGCAGCCAGATGATCGTTTCGACTCCGAGATACGCTTTGAGTTCATCTTCAATTTGTGCTTTCGTTAAACCGGGGTTTCGGTTTTTATTCAGGAGGCACTCTTCGGTTGTAAGGCAAGTCCCTGAAGAAGAAAAAAAACCGATTTAACTAATTGTTACTTTACTCAATTAATTGAATTTTCGAGGAACGAGATAAATCTTTCTACAAAATATGAAATAGTGGATTTCACCAAAAACAGATAAATACGAAATTTCAACCGGAAAAGAAATTTATTAACCTTCCCCGTCGACATGAATGCTTCCGCCCTCGAGAATCATGGAATGGGGAAACCTCGGAACCTTTTCGATTTCCAGAATCTAGATTTAAGAAGCAAACATTGAAAAAAGTGGTAAGTTCATGTTCGAGCAAATAAAGCTTCTGCACATTCGTTTTCAACGTGCCCGTTAGAACTCGACCAACCTTTCTTGCAATAAGTAGGTCGAGACTCCAATCTTCGTAACAACCTTCCTCCACACCTGATAAAATCAAAAATTCCATCCTAAATAAACGAGAAATATCCAAAAGAAGTTCTTATTGCTGCAGAGAAACAAATTAAAATTGGACTTTGCAGAAATATTTTCGAAAATAGTAGGCAGCCTTACCGCCATAGCTATTGAAGTTCCAATCGATTCCAGCAATCATGCTGCGCGATTTCTCTTCACCCGATACGCTTTTTCTGATAACAAACTGCCGAAAACAATTGTAATCTAGAAAACATATTTCCGGAGGAAAAGTTAAATAAAATAAAATAAAATAATTTAAGAGGCTCTCACAGTTGGACCGGTGTCACGAAACCATGTATCGTTCGTGCTCATCTCAACCACCCTAATATGTTCGGGCAACTGACTGCGCGCATTATTCCACTGCACGTGAAATATTTATTTAAATTTAAACGAGAAACAAACGTATAAAAAGATTAATTAGTTCAAAACAGCTACAAAAATTCCAACCTGCGCAGAACTGGCGCACACGGTAACAGGTTCGAATCTTGAAATTGCAGAGGCAATATTCGAAAACGCACGTTGACCATGCGCTCCATTATCGCGCCAATTGTCTGGCCGTTCCTATGATCGGGCGAAGCATGAATATGACTAATCGTTAATAGCTTTTTTTTTTTAATTCTAGCTAATACTAACAAGGAACTAGAAGACGAAATATGTGAATGATGCAAATGATTTTGTAATTGGCTCTGTTGATTTTTAGAACATATTTCAGCTTACTGAGCCAATTAAAAAATAAACATAAGTAAATTTTTTTCAAGAACATCATTTGTGCTCAGGGGCCAGTCCACCCTCAATTGATAATTTCTCCTTTAAATTATACACATATATCTATTTAGCCCACCCAAATTTTATCAATAAGTCCACCCAAAATCCAAATTAATGCAAAAAAAAACTCCAATTTGTATTCATTAGCCCACCCAAAATCCAAATTACGCAAAAAAAAAAAAAACACCAATTTTTATTAATTAGCCTACCCAAAATCCAAATTAATGCAAGAAAAGCTCTAAAAAAATTCATTTCTTTTTTTCTTTTCCTATTTTTTGATTTTGTCACAAAAAATTCCTCAAGAAAATTTCGGATCCGAATATTTAAACCCACCCTGTAACAAATTCCTGGACTCGCCACTGGTTGTGCAACAAACATGATTTAAAAAGATGTATATTAAAATTCCGATGCATTAAAATAAAAACCGAACAGGACTTATTTATTAAAATTCCTATGCACTGTTGCATAGACTAAAAACACGATTGTTTGATCAAATTGAAATCTCGAAGCAAAATCAGTGGTAGAGCTCACTAACGATGAAATCGTCTTAAAAAAAAAAAAGAAACACATATGGAACGAAAGGCGAATCGAGAATCGAAAGAGATGAGACTCACAGGCCAGCCCATCCAGCAGTGGGAGTGGGGTACCCATTCGGCGGGCATGTAGTATCCGTGTTCACGAGGCGTCGTCCCCTTTAATTCCATTTGATATATAATAACTAGGAAAAATCTGCAGATGCAAATCACACTACCTATATTTACTATCGTACATTCAAGAACAAGTGGACTAGGTCACCCTAATAAATGATGAAATCATAAAAATGGGTTGCCTATTTATACTCCACCAAATTTCTCATACCACTCCACCATTTTTACATGTTCCCAATTATACCCTTCAGATACAAAAATTCCATACCAAAAAAAAAACATCAGCGGTGAAGAAGAAGAGTTGTTAAACTGTGTTCCTAAAATATACATAAAAAAAATGAAAAAAAAAAAACGAAGAGAGTTATATCTAATAGCAAATGTTTTCATAAATCCCGAAAAATCCTGAAAGGCATTGCAAATGAATCGATTCTTTGATAAATTGAATACCAAATCTCAAGATAGCAGGATCAATCGAAAAATCAGAATATTAGTGAAGACTACAAGACTCACCTGTCGTCAGTTGATGGCGGTGGGGCGGCGTGCGGCGAGCGGCGGCGCGCTGTGGCGGAGGTTCAACGGGTTGGAAAATATTAGGGCTGGAATTTGAGAAATTCAATTTAATTTTGATTTTGAGTGTTTGGACTCAAAACACTCCAAACTCAAAATTAAAATTAAATTGAATTTCTCAAATTCTTTTTTTTTTCTCCAAAAATGCATTCCAATTTCGGAATGTCTTCGAATTTCGGAGATTTTGAAAATTACATTAATTTATATTTTTTTCTAAATTCGGATATAATAAAAATTTTCACAGTTTCTTTTTCTCTTTTTAAAATTTTGCATGAAAATGCAAGAAAATTCAAAATAGAGTTCGACAAGACGGAATAAAAAAAATACATGATGGAAACACAAATTGAAACATAGACATAGGTTTTCTTATAAGAAAAAATGCAATAAAGTTTCTGATACCAATTAATTTTTCTAAGTTTTAAATTACTTGTTCCTTCAATATTTATATTTTTCATATAAAATATAACATAAGTTATATCATGGAATTACAAAATATATCATCAAATTATATTATCTATTTTGAAAAACCATAAAAATATTCGGAAAAATAAAATCGGATCAGAAATCGGAATTTTCGTGTACCATTCCAATTTCGTTCCAAATAAATTCGAAAGAATCGTAAATCGGAATTTCGAAAATGGGAATGAAAATACGGTTCCAAATTCGGATATTTTTGGAATCGGAATTGGCGGTATTCAGAAATTCCATTTCGATTTCCACCTCTAGTTTTGACCCATTTTTTCTTTTTCACTTTTTTAGACTTTTAGCATTTGATTAGATCCAAAGTGAATTCAAAGTGGATCTACATGAATTCAGTTAATGAAAGTTTTCAACTAGTTTCGGTCCAGTTTCGTTCTAATTAGATTTAATTTAAATTGAATTCATGCGAATCAAACCGAATCCGATTGGATCCATGGAAACGGATCCAAATTGCCACCATTAAGTCAATAGTGGAGTGAGATGAGAAATTTGGTGGAGTCCAAATAGCCAAGTTCACATAAAACTGTGTCTAGCCAAGGATACCTTATTCTTAGTCAGATCCCCGCACATTCACCGCTCACTCGAGATCAACGGACGATTTTACTTGAGATGATTTATGCAAATAGTAGTGGCATGGAGTAACTCTCTGGTAAGAGAACTTTTGATGAACGAGTCATAGACTCGGGAGATTCTCATCGTATGACGAGAAACATAGAATTGTCGTACGATACTGAGATATCACCAATTCCAGTGGAGCTTCCAAATGGAAAGGACGCAATTGCCTTGAAAGAAGGAAAAATATTTCTAGGGATCGGAATCGTCGTTATTTGCAATGGAAATTATGAGAGTAATTATAAGTGATCTTGGTGATTTGCCGTTTAGTCTTATGTTCGATGAAGCACGTGATATATCAATGAAGGAACAAATGACTTTGGTGATAAGATACGTCGATAAATGTGGTGGTGTGATTGAGCATTTTCGAGGAGTGGAACATGTTACCGATACTAGTGCGTTGACTCTTAAAGCAACCATTGATAAACAAAAATTTAGATATGGACTGAGTATCTCGAAATTAGGAGGTCAATGTTATGATGGAACTGGTAACATGAGAGGTAAATTTAATAGCCAAAAAACAGTTATCTTGAATGAGAGCCCTTCCGCATATTATATTCATTGTTTTGCTCATCAGTTTCGCCTTAGCGGTTGTAGGGAAACACAATCATATTTCTTTACTTTTTTTTATTTTACTACAAGAGTGTAAAATGTGTTGGATCATCGTCTAAATGTCGTGATTTGCTAAGAGAGAGTGCTACGCGTAAAACCTACGTATGAAAAACCGCAAGTGTACAGTATCGCGTTTTGTAAAATAGTGAATTCCAGATATCGATCCACAGGGAATTAAGTTCCTAAATTTACCAAGTACCGTAATTATACTATCATAAACTTTATCTAGACGATCAAGAATGGATGGGAGAAATGAGACTAAAAAGAAACAATAAATAAAAAACAACGGTCCGCCAGGACAAGCAAGGAATTCCGACATGTGATGGCTTCTAGGGTAAAATCCAACAGTGTACTATTGATAAAGATCTACAAATCTGAATCTAATGTCAATTTTATATTCGCTAAACCAAACACTAAAATACCCTAACCCCCGTCTCCAGTGTAGTTAGAGTCTACCCACAGGTCTGACGTCTCCATTCAGAACCTGATATTAAGAGAGCATTTAGGTCAAGTTCTTAAGGGCTACCCGAGGTGCATCACGTCTCCATTTCCACAACCCGAGCTATGTTTTCCTAAAATCAAACGAGAAATCCTCTCTCGAGTTCATTCCATTTATAATCAATTCAACTGTTGGCCAAACAGTCGAAATCATTTAATACAGGAAAACATAAACAGAATCAAAGAACGACAAATAGATCACAGATCTAGAAATCAAAATCAATATATACAAGGTTTCATTTCCCCTAAAAGAAATTTCTTAGTTCATTACAAACATAGCATCCAAACAAAGAACACGAGAAATTATATACTAAACGTAAAGAAAAAACTTATGAAAAACCCAAGTCGAAACCCTCGTCGAAGCTTCCTGCGAAGAACTGGCGAGAACCGAAGAGAAAACCGAAGAAGAAGTCGAAGAGTCACTCCACCTCCGTTGAAGAGTGAGGCTTGTTCTATTTATAGTAAGCTTTGCCTTTTTAGATACTTTTTACACATCCCGAGGCCATATCGCGATATGGGAATCAGTAACGGGCGATATGGCAAAAATTCAAACTCTCTGTTTCGTTTCTCCCCATATTGCGATACAAGATGGCATATCGCGCGATATGGCCAAAACGCAAGCTCTCTGTTTCGTTTCTTCCCATATCGCGATACAGTATGGCATATCGCGATATGGTGACTGTCTGAACTTAAAGCTCTGTGTTGACCCTTTTTTAGCTCGATTTTGACAATTTTGCATTTGACAATAGTTGTAGACCTTGAAGTTGGCTTTTTAAATCAACTTAAATCAGCTCAATCGGAGGTCTTATGAGAGAGTTATGCTTGAAATACCAAACACTGCCACAACCCGTGAGAATGCACGTGTTTGGTTTGATTCTCTGCTTCGCTTCCAAAATCGTTTCGAATCGCAAAAATAGCTTCTCTTTACCTCAAAATGAAATAAAACAAGAAATGCATAATATATACAAATAAAGCCAAAAACTCGTACGAACGAAGACCAAAACTCAAAGAATTGATAAGTAAAAATCATGCAAAATGAACACTTATCAGAGATGAAGGATGACCTAAAATGTTAAAATGGTCTTTAGTACCAGCATTCACCACGTAAAATTAACTTGTGAAATAATTTGAGAAGCAAAGCCAAATACACGTAGAAAAGTTGAATGGTAAAAAAGATTTTTATTAATTATAAAATAAGTTAAAATTGATAAATAATCGCCTAAAAAAAGTTTTATGTATAATCCACTAATAAATGAAATCTTAGAGTATCATTAGTGAATAGTCTACTTTAATCTGAACGACACATCACAAATAAGCTCATTAATGAGTATTTATTTATGAAGAGGTTCACACAAAAAATATCTTTCATAAAAAAAGTCAACACATTGTCCAGAGGTTTGTAAAAGACTAAAATAGCCCCTCACATTTTAATATGCTACAATTACATCATTTAATTTAATCTAACTCAATTTGACCCCAAATTTCACAAATTATTCAATTTTGATCAAAAACACAATTGTATAGACAATTTCTTCCATCGCTGCCGTTGAATTCTTTTTTTTTCTTCTTTCTTCCTGATTTTTCTGCTGGTTTTCGGTGTTGACTTTTTCGATAATTTTTTTCTTCTTCCTTCTGATTTTTCCGCCGGTTTCCAGCGTTGACTTTTTCGATTTATTTTATTTTTTTTGAATTTTTTTTTTCTTTAACATCTTTTTGCCCCCGTTTCAACAACAATATTGTTGTGGTTGACAGTATTATTAACTATATTACTGTTAAACATAGTAATATTAGCTATACTACAGTTTAACACAGTAATATTGTTATATTAATCTCTAGCACATTAATATTAACAAACAAAAGTCATTATTATTTTGTAATAGAGTAATATTAATATGTAGACCGTTCAACAAATGTAAACATAATAAAAAGCCAAAAAAATTAATATTGATGTGGTTGACAGTAATATTACTGTAACAACAATAATATTACTGTCAACCACAGTAATATTATTGTGTTTACAGTAAATTAAAAAAGTAGATAGTAATATTATTACCTTACTCCGTCAACAACTCAAACAAAACAAAAATTTCGAAAAAAATAATAATATTCATGTAGTTGACAGTAATTTATTGTGTTTACGGTAATATAATTACGTTGATTTGTCAACAAATCAAACAAAATTAAAATAAATAAAAAAAAGACAAAAAAAATAATAATATTGTCATTGACTCTAATTGTATCGTCAACGACAGTACAATTACATAAATGTACTGTCAGTAACAGTACAATTACGTTAATGTACTGTCAACGACAGTATAATTACGTTAATGTACTGTCAGTGACAGCATAATTATTGTTAATGACAGTACAATTACGGTCAACGTTTAGCATCGGGCGTAAAAAACGGATACAAATTTTAGAAGAAATAAAATCACAAAAAAAAAGTCAACGGCGGAAAAAACAGACCCAAAATAATCAAAATTAAATTTTTATGGTCAAAATTAATTAAACTGGGGTTACAATTAAAAATCGGGTGTAAAAAGTTTGAGGTAATTTTGTCATACACATTAATTTTTCCTTTATTTATAATATATATATTAAAGAGATAAGCTTATTGTCGGATATAGCCCCTAATCTAATAGAACTACTCTACTATTCTTTTTTATTCAATATAAAAATCTTATAGAATCAAAAGTGGGTATACAGATTTCTCGGGCATACCCCGGATCTTTACAAAATATCAATTTAGTCCCTCTATAATATTATAATATGACGCTTAGCACCCGCTAAAATATCAATATTGAACGATGACAATAAAAATAGCTAAAGGTGCCTACAAAATTACTGAATCATCCTTGAAAATTGGAACAATTAAACAAATAATAAAATAGACATTCAGTTTGTTCGTTTCCACATGGTTGTGTAAATCTGTTCAATTTTTTTTTTCCTATTTGTTAGTAGGGCTGTGCGTTGGTTGGTTTGGTTAAAAACCAGCCATAAAACCAACCCAACCCATCCGACCAACTTTAGTAAATATTGGAAACCGTTATCGACCCAACTTACATGGGTTGGGTGATGGTTGAAAACCAATTTAATGGGTTGGTTGGTGGTTTGGTTGATGGGTCATCCATCTAAATATTTTTTTAATTTTTTTTAATATTTTATTACTTGTTACAATGCTATATCTTTTATAAATTAAATGCGACTAGTTCAATTATATTCAAATAAAAGATTAAAAACATTACGGGCATATATATTACAATTAAACATAAATAGTTCAACAAATAATAATCATCCAAATATTTAGACTATATGTCTTAAAATTAAAATAGTTCAAATTAGATAATTTAGTTAGATTTATTGTTTTTAAAATTTTGGTCAATATTAAACAATTTAATAAATATGATATAAAATAGAAATTTGAAATTAAAAATATTAAATATTTTTATTAAAATTAATAAATAATAAATTAATGAATAAAGTTGGTTGGCCGATATTAACCGACTAACCAACTTTTAAGCATATTAGAAACCATTATCGACCCAACTATACATGGGTTGGTTGACATTATCGACCCAACTTAAATGGGTCGGTTGATGGTTGATTAACCATCACAAATTGTGGGTCGAAAATGGGTTGATTGGTGGTTAAAACCGATCCATGCACAGCCCTATTTGTTAGTATAAAATAAAATAATATGATTAAAAATATACTATTTTAATTAAAATCTAAAAATATTAACTATTTTAGCAATTCTTTTGTGAAAACCCTTATTAAACAAAACAAGGATGCGTAGTACCCTAACCACCGAAATTTGTAGCTTACTATTAATTGTAAGAAATAAATCGCCTCCCATTTAAAATATTCCAAATTGGCCTTTGATTATATATATACAGGACTAGCAAAGTCATTATAAGGCCGCCGGAGGCATGGGTCTCCTAATATTTTTCAAATCCCTATTATAATATTATTTTCTCTGCTATATAATAACTTCATATTTTAAAAAATACTTTGTTTTATATTATCAGTCACTTTATACTTGAAATATTAAATTAATGTATTTTTTTCTGTTTTAATCTTATTAATTCAACTGTAAGTATTAACTCTCTCTTATCACATCATTAAATGATCAAGGTTATTTTAGTCTTTCTGATGTGTTTTTCCTACAATTAAATACATTTATTTAAGATTCCTAAGGGCATCTTCCACCCATCACTATTTTCTATTTTTTTTTTTTATCTAATTCTGGTGTTTTTAACCTCCCAATTTAAATCACTAAATCAACATTACACCTAAAATTATGATGATTTAGTTTTAGTCTCCCATTGTGGTCAACCCACATATCACCATATTACCAAATCCTATATTTTCACCAAATTTTTTGGTGAAGAAATTTGCAACTCCCACCCTATCACTACTTTACCAAATTTTTTCACCAAATCCTATTTTTTATATCAAATATAGAAATTAAAATAGGATTTGGTGTAATTAACACCATTTTATAATTAGTATATAAAATTATTATATTAACTAATTTCATGTGATTACCAATTTATAAGCATATTTGTAGAAAATATATTAGTGTTAATTAATCAATTAGTGTTCAAAAGATAAATACATTAATTATTATTATTATTATTATTATTATTATTATTATTATTATTATTATTATTATTATTATTATTATTATTATTATTATTATTATTATTATTATTATTATTATTATTATTATTATTATTATTATTATTATTATTATTATTATTATTATTATTATTAAATAAATACATTTGGCTCTAATAAGTTATATGTTTATACAATAAACATGTTTATTATCAAAAACCAACAAAAACATAACATTACAACGTAACATAATAAATTATAAGACAAAATATATAAATGAAATAGATTAAAATTATGATTAACATTAAATTATAATTTTGTGATATATTTTATGTAATACTATGGGAGACCAAACCAAATGCTATTCTCTATAAATAGGAAAATGGTGAAATATTATTATTTTATTGTTTAGTGTAAAATTTGTTGAAATTGGTGTGAGACCAAATGCACTATTTTTTCACCAAAAGTAGTGAAATTATAGAATTGTGTGCTAAGAGTGGGAGATAAACCCATTTTTTCACCACAAAAAATAGGATTTGGTGAAAAAATGGTGATTAGGGTGGAAGATGCTCTAATAGCTGTACAAAACCAAAAACGATAGATAATCAGGAATGGATGAAGTATTTTCTATAAAGAAAGTTAAAAAAAGTCATGATAATAGCATTATGAGCCCCTCTCATAAAATTTTTACTACATTCATTCCAGGATTAAAAATTCTGGCTCCACTGATAATCAGAACTCCACGGTAATTTGTTATACATCGATTGAAGTCCAATAATTGTTGAGCATTTGTTAGTTAAAATGGGTCCCAATTAGTACCTTAAATCAAACATTAAATTTCATAAACAAATGTTGTATGATTTAACCTAAACGATTGATTAGTCATTCTTAAATAATCATAAAAAAAAAAAAGGAAAAAAACAAAAAAGAAAAAAGAAAAAAGAAAAAAGAAAAAAAAAAGCACCGAAAAATGTCATATCCTACGAGGACAACACATGAACACCCCACATGATCATTATCTCCACACCCAACACCCCCTATTATTATTATTCTATAAATAAATAATTAGATTCGCATATTAATTAATTTAATTAATTAATTAAACATTAAATAAGTATTAAAAATTTAAAATAGTAGAAACACAATACGTGGAATCTATAAGGGAGAGTGTCACCAAAGTAGATCGTGTACGTGGCATGCATCCCCACTGACTCTGTTCTGGGCCCCACCCCCACCCCCACAGAATAGGTAGTTAATCAAACGACTCAGTACGTTGTCGTTTTGCTATAGTATGGGCAGGGCGGGCAAGCCCATGGTTTGCGCTCCCCGATATTTGTAAACTATGGTTTAATTTTCTTTCTTGGTTACGAAGTTCAAAGACTTTGGTCAAAGTTTTACTCTAGTTGTTTAATGTACCACTTGCACATCATATTTTGTCATAATTTCATTTAGGGGCCCCTACTAAAATAAGTTTTGCATTTTGATCACTGACATTTTAATTCGACAAAAGTACCTTATTTCTTTGAGTTTGGAACTTGGAAGTATAAATCAAAGCCATCAAAGTAGCTCCATAAAATAATTGCTTCAAATTAGAGTTATTGCCTATTGGTGTGAAATTTATTTTTAAATAAAATCAATCAAACAAAAATTGGTGGATTTGATCAAAATCATCTTCTGATTTTTTCTGATTTTTCATTTTCACCTCTCAACTTCGACTTTGATATACATTTTCAATAAGAATTCCAAAATATTTAGAAAAAAATGAAACTGAAACTTTAAAAGAAAGTGTTCTCGACTAAAACTAAAAATTACGTTCCAACGTTCAGCCCTATATTTTAGGGATGATACATTTATATTTTTTTTCAACTAAATTTTCTTACAACCAATTATTTCAGCGTGCCTCATCAATTTCTTTTATCGAGGTTCTTGGAGTTCATAATAATAGATTAAAACCTATAGCATATTAAATGTAACCAAATTTCTGTAAAGCAACTCATAATGCTCATAAAAAAAAAAAAAAAAGAAAGAAAGAAAGAAAGAAAGATATTTCAATTTTCAAGTCAATGATTTGCATCACGCTTCAAAGCTAGGCCAAGGTTTAAGCGCGTAACTAGGACTGGCATACTATTGATGCCAATTCAACTAGACTAATTAATCTTGATGCTTAGCAACAAGAGTAGAGTATCGATAAATTAATACTCGATAAATACAAAATATTGTTTAAATAATAACTTTTACGATCACGACTAAGTAAGAACGTACTAAATTATTAGTTCAATAATTTAATATTCGATAAATTAATAAAATTTGTCAGTCCCAACTATATTAATTTATAGAGATTTATCATTTAACTGTAATATGAAACAATTTGCACCAAATCACGAGTCTTTAAATCGCATTTTCTAGAATGAGGGGGCCACAAGTGCAATTAATGAAAGGCCAAGACCGCCATACAAAAAAAAAAATAGAAAGTAAACAAAGCATCACACCCCTACCCTATTACCACCCCTAACCCACCCCCACCCCCACCCCACCCCCACCCCTAAAAAATGAAAGTTTGAGAGTGTATAAATAGATAGGTGGAGTAGAGATCGGTTTGCCAAATTGAACACGCAAATCCCCTCTTCTCCCAATCAATCATCAGCGAAAATGGCGGCTTTAGCAGCTCGTAGATCCAGTGGACCGGTCATCCGGTCCATCTCCCCTTCCTCTAGTTTCAACCGCCACTACTCCGCCACCCACCAGTCCACGCCGTCCCATTCCTCCTCCGCCGCCGCCTCCCTCCAGAGACCTGCCTCCCCTGCCCTGTACAACTACTCTTCTCCTTCACTCAGGTTTTCCATGGATCGGCCCGGTTCGCCCAACCGGTCCATATCCTTCACCACCCGGTCCGGTAAACCCGCCGCCGCTCCTCAGAAGCGAACGTGCATGTGCTCCCCTACAAACCACCCCGGTTCCTTCCGATGCAGCTTACACAAAGCCAACAAACCCACCGCTTCGAGAACGGCGTCGTGTGGGAGCTCGAGCAGGCTGAATATGAGGCGGTCCGCCATGAAAAATTCTCTGGTTCGAATCGGTACGGTGGAGGGTGACTTGGTGACGAGAGCTCTCGCGGCGTTGATTCGCCCTTCCTCCCATAACCAGCGCCGCCGCGGTGAGTTCCGGCCCCGCCCCAGCCGCCTGTCCGCCATGGCAAAATCTTAAAACTTATTCGGTTGCTAAAATCACTCGCCGGTGACACGTCATCGCGACCGTATGGGGTTCTAGTACCGAAGGGGATTTTTTTACTCCGGTGACCGGGAAACCCAAATTTTTTTGAGTTGGACAATTTGTTTGTATATAGTAATTAAATATTAGAATTGCGTAACTATGAAGTAAATTCAATTTAAAATGGGCAGTCCAAATTCCAAGGAGATTTCAATTCTTGATGTCACTAAGACAATTTTCCCAAGCAAATTATATAACTCAGAAATCAGAATGATCGTAATTATTATTGCAATAAATCATATATCAAGCTTTAATTAGACCCACGAAAAGTATATAGTATATTCTTAAGTTTGTAGTGAAATGGACCACAAATTTAGGGGTCAAAGTCCCAAAATGCGGACTAATTAAACTCTTAACCTCGAAGACTCTGTCGCTGTAGAAGAACATCTAAAAAAAAAAGAAAAAGCGAATCTCTCTAAGAGCTACCTCCAATAGTTAGATCGTAATTTTAATTTTATTGCGGTATTTTATCAACACATTTTAACCCATGTAAGTGAACGGGTAACTAGCAATAAACCCTTCTTATAGTTAAAAAATGGTGATATGTTCATCTCTTAGATCTTTATTTGTGATATCTTATTAGCACTATTTATTTTAATAATACCCTTCACTTACATAAGTAAAGATTAATATTATTTGGACTGTATTTATTATTTTTGATTTTTTTTATTTGTACATTTTTATAAAAATATTTAAAAAAAAAAAATTCTCTGATTTTTTTAATAGTTTTACTACGTTGAATATGACTGCTGTCGAAAATGAACTATCGTCGAATATGACTATTTTTGAAAATAGTTATCTCTAAGTCACGTTTCTTGTTTAATTTTACTGGTTTTTTTTTATTTTCAATCCAAAAAATAGTAATATCCTGATCTAGTGCGGTCACCGATCCCCGGTTGAATATAAAACAACTTCAGTCCACAACCACAATATATCACACATAATTACATTAATTTTTTCAACAAAAATAATCATCAGTATCATTATACATCAGAAAAACCTACAAATGCTATATAGGACTAATTGGGGCTATTCTAGCAAGAATGGGATGGCCCAAAAAATATAAGGCTAGCCTGAGTAGGATGAGTTGGGCTAGTAAGGTCCTTTTATGTATGGGCGGGCCTAAAGAGATCATGAAGAGGATGCAAGGAGTTCGCGTGTTGGAGTGAGCTCAAGAGGGCAGCTTAGAAGCTGGGTATAAATAAGCGAGCTATCCCTTGATGAGCCGGAAGGGAAGGAAATAGGAGTTCAATTAACATAAGTATTCCTTAGAGACATGGATATGTGAAGATTAGGTCGCCTATATAAACACATGTAACAACCCCAATTAGGATTAACTTTTATATAAAGAATATTCGTCTTCTCCTGAACTCTTCTTTTACTTTTACATTCCGTCAATTGTTTATTACTCGCCAATCCTTAATCAGGCCTAGGGTGCAAAGTTCGGCACCATTAAGTGGCGCCGTATGTGGGAATTTTCGGGAAGACCAAAGTTAAGGCGTTGAGGGAACATCATGACAAATGACGTAAAACCAATAATTTGGAGCAAAAACTGGGGACCAAGACACTACCTCCTAAAGATCCTAAGGAAGTGGTGGACGTGGCGGAGGGAGAGATGCCACCCAGGAACACCCCAGTCTCAGGGGGGAGGACAAGAACCAGCGACAAGAGAGGATGCATAGACTTCCCTTGCCGAGCTCCCTGCGGGCGCGATCCAAGGAATCTTGGAACTAATAGATCGTCAATCGCCTTGGATGTGGAGCAGAAGAAGTCGGCTTAACAGAATGAGGAGTCCAGAAGAATCTAGGAGAAATTATTCAAGACTCACCAAGTCTAAGAGAAAGAAAGCGCATATAGGAGACGCGAAGTAAGGGATGGTCTAGAAGCCTCGCCGAATGAGGAGGCATACCTAGCAGGACAAATTGCGAAACAAGTGGAAATCATCCGGATTTTGGAACCAGCGACAAGAGAGGATGCATAGACTGCCCTTGCCAAGCTCTTTGTAGGCGCCACCCAAGGAATCTTGTAATTAATAGATGGTCAATCGCCTTAGGTGTGGAGCAGAAGAAGGCGGCTTTATAGAAGGAGGAGGCCAGAAGAATCAAGGAGGAATTATTCAAGACTCACCAAGTCGAAAAGCAAGAAAGTGCACAGAGGAGACGCAGAGCTAGAGATGGTCTGGAAGCCTCGCGGAATGAGGATGCATACCTAGCAGGCCAAATTGCGAAACAAGTGGAAATCATCCGGATTTTGGAACCAACGACAAGTGAGGATGCATAGACTGCCCTTGGCGAGCTCTCTGCGGGCGCCACTCAAGGGATCTTGGAACTAATAGATCTTCAATTGCCTTAGGTATGAAGCAGAAGAAGTCAGCTTTACAGAAGGAGAAGTCCAGAAGAATCAACGAGGAATTATTCAAGCCTCGCCAAGTCGAAGAGCAAGAAAGCGCACAGAGGAGACGCGAAGCAAGGGATGGTCTAGAAGCCTCGCGGAATGAGGAGACATACCTAGCAGGCCAAATTGAAAAACAAGTGGGAATCATCCGGATTTTTGAACAAAAATAGAGAAAAGAAGCATTGCAAATCGATGATATGAAATGGGAGCTAGTGCGACTGCAAGAAAGACGAGCACTTCCTCAAGAATAACATAGGTCGGGGCCATTGAGAGATATGCGAGTTCACATCGACCGATTGGAAGACGGAGATGACAACTTCAGATCAAAAGGATACGAAAAAAATGGCCTGATAAACCTGGGGCAAGTGGCTAGGGAAGTGAGACACCAGCAACAAGAAGAATAAAAAATATTTTAGAAAAAAAAATTATTTTCTGAAAAAAAAAGTTTTGGGGGTTAATGTGATATATTTGTTTAAATCCGGGGTCAATGTGTAATCCGGGGTCATGCACGTAACGATTACAACACTTAGAACGATCGCACAGTCATTGAACTACTACGGAGGTCTCGATGAACCAATTCCTCTAGTTCAATCGGGACATAGGAATCGATGGGATTGTACTATACGTTAACTATATCAAAAGGTTCTTGCAGGCACTTCATTTGTATCTAGGGAATCATGACGCGTAGTTGCTAGATGCCAATCTTGATTTGTTGGGTGATTAAGGTGAAACGAGCTTCACCTTAATCGTAACTCTAAGGGACGAGTTTTGACCACAAAGGGTTGTGGACCCACGGCTAGCTTACACCTGAACCATCGAGGGTCACACTGCTCGTGCACATGAGATCCTTGAATAAACGGTCAGAGATGAAAATGTTTTATCTTTGCATGATTGGAAGTCAATATGATTGGGTCCAACATTCGTAACTTGGAATTATGAATGAGAATAAGAAAAGGAAAATAATAGGCGAACATCTTAGTGAACTTTCTAAATCGGGAAGTTTCCAAATTTAGAAGGTGCACTGAATTAGGGTTTCCACTTTTAGAAAGTTGGAAATCGACAATTGGCACTCATAATGACGAGGACATTGTAATGATTCCGAAAATGTAATCGTTACAATTTTCCGATCATTGAATTGAGAGAAACGAGCGAGTAAAGATCTAATGAACTTAAGCAGTTGGGCTCGGTCCAACTTAAGTCCGTTAGGGCTTTTATGCAAGACACTATAAATACTTGATTTATAGGCCTAGCACATAAGATAACACATCTCACGAAACCCTAGCCGCTCGCCCTCTATCTCTCTCGGCCATACCAGCTCACGGCCGCCGCCCTCGCCGCCGAACCACCGCCGGAATCGGCCTCTCTTGGCCGATCAATCGTGGTAGTTCTATTCTTCCTTTTATTCTTTCCGTTTACTCTAACTATTGCGTGTCTAGTGCCATGTTTTAGTAGATCGAAGTATACGAGGTGAAATCCAAGAGGAGGAAGATCGAAGAATCGAAGAATCTAGGAGCAACCCCCGAGCCAACGACGCACGCGCTCCCACGCGCCGCCCGAAGTCAGCGCGTGATCCTCACGCGCCGCCCTTGCTCTCACTGTCGCCGCTCCCGGATTGCACGGATTGGTTTCTGTGGCAATCTTGCTTCGTTTCATGTTCCTACCTCACGCTTCAAGAGGTAAATTCTCGAATCCGGTATTCGTTCGAAATTAATTTAATTAGATTAAATTATGCATGATCGTTTTCGTAGTATGCTTTATGAATTTGTATGTTTTATATTATTACATGAAATTCATGATTTATTGCGAGCACGTTAATTGATTTAATGCGAGCATGCTAATTGATTTAATGTCGATTAAATAATTCGCATGTATGTTGTTTTTAATTTCGCTGGAAGCGCAAAGGTACGCAATTAATTGTTTATAACTATCGGGCATGTGATTATGTGATTTAAATTTGTTTATAATTGCATAAAAAACTTTTTTTCTGCTGCGTACACGTGTTTGATTCCCAACAGTGGTATTGGAGCTCGTTGCGCAATTAATTGCCATTTTAATATGCTATTATTTTGATGCATGTTCGATTTATTAAAGTAGCGATTGTTGTATTATGTAATTGGGAGTTTTCGAAAGTTTAAAATATTTTTGAAATATTGTTAAGAATTTTTCCAGCTTTAAAATTGTTTAAAATTGGAAAATCGGATCTGGAATTTATTTTGAAACGTCGGTTTTTAATTTCTTCGGATCGAACCGGTCGAACCCGCCGGTTCGATAGTTGTGTGCGATCCAATTAACCGACCCATTGATTTGGGTCAACTGGATCGGCCAGAACCGGACCGTTTCGGTCCGAACCGGTTTGACCAGTCAGGCCAAACCAGTTCACTGAAAAAAAAAATTATTTCAGATTTCTAAAATTAAACTTAAAACAAATTGATTTTAATTTTCAAAAAAATATTTTCAATTAATCCCAATTAGATAATCGAATCAACAATCATCTATTTTAGTAAATAGGTGTTAGATTAATTAATTAATTTAAATTGTTAAATTAATTTTAATTAATAGAACACACATATAATATTGATTATACTTTAACTTAATTAATAGTACCTCAACATTACTTGATTGATTTATGCTAGTTGAGGTCCTATAATTATTTTGAAAACCCGATAATTAACTAATGTAATTAATTATATAGTTAGGTCGTATGTTCCTCTTAGGACAATATGCGCTTCCATATACCTTTCGAGAACATAGATGTA